GAAGTCCGGTTATTGGCAAGTAGGTCTGACACCAGCGTCACGACCACTCGCTGCGTTTCGCACACAGATGGGTCTCTACCAATTTAAAGTAATGCCCTTCGGCCTTAAAAACGCCCTGGCTACTTTTCAACGGTTGGTGAACGAGGTTATGCGTGGATACGTTGGTAAATTCGTGTTTGTATACCTGGATGACATTGTGATGTATTCATTGAGTATGGACGAACATCTCAATCACCTACAACGAGTCCTAGAACGGTTACAAACACACGGTTTAACTGTTCAACCAAGTAATTTTGGGGTTTCACAGATCAATTTTCTCGGGCACATTGTTGATTCAACCGGAATTGATCGAGAACCAGAAAAGTTAATCGCAATCGCCAATTTTCCTGAACCAAAAAAGATGAAATATTTGCAAAAGTTTCTCGCGATATATGGTTGGTATAGTAAGTTTGTTTCAAACTACGCTGAAATCACCGCACAGATCATTTAGCAAAAGGAATTAAATGGCGATGATGATGAAAAATAGTTCTTCTCTCGTTTTGGTTATGCTCGAATGCTCTTGTCTGACAACGGAAAGCAATTTGTTTCCAAAGCAATGGAGAAAGCACTGGAGAAGTGGGGAACACAAGGTTGGACGACACCGATATATCACCCCAGAGCAAATCCAGTTGAGCGCCGTTATCAGGACTTGAAAAAGGATTACAGAGTGCGTTAATTGAAAAACCACATAGCCAGTGGGGCAGTTGCATTCCAAGTAATCTTTTTTCAGTGAAAAACTGCAGGAACAGACTGACGGGATACACACCATCAGTTTTAGCTTTTGGACGCGAGGCAAAAGCTCTTGGTGATTGCCTACTGGACATCAGTTCTACGGGAAAAAAACCGGATAATTTAGAGAAGATCCAAAGAAAGGAGGAATTGTTCAGTAGAACAGAAACTTTTATTGAAGAATTATCGGAAAAAATTCAATTTTCCACAGAGGAACCGGGAAAATTTGAAAACACCGGACCATACGGTGGAAAAATTAATTTTTCCAGAGGAGGAGAGCAACCCTCTGATGAACTCGGATTGAACTTCGGTAAAAGTGATCGCAGGACCAGATCTACCCGTCTAAAAAATCACCTAGATAGTTTTACGGAAGGGGATTGGGTTTATTACTGCGCACATCTCCTATCTAGCGCTGAAAAGAAATTTCATGCGGGGTTTGAAGCAAAATGGCTAGGTCCAGTGTAAATTGGTAAACGATTAGGCGAGGGGGTCTATGTAACCAAAGGTAAAAGTCAGTTGAAGCTTCACGTTTCGGCCCTTAAACATGCAGCTAAATTGGGGTACTCTAACGCTTTTGATTGGTTACAGAATGACGGAACAGCAAGCCATCGACAGTCAGCGTCAATCGCGTCCAAACCGCCCATTCTGAGCGGCAGCAGCCGAGTGACCAACATATTGCGGATCGTCATACGGAAAATGAGGAGAGGAGTTGCCATCCTCACAGGCGAACTAACGGACGATGTTCCAACCGGCTGAACGGTCGAAAAGGCGAGGGAGCGCAGCTGTTATGTGCCGTTTACGAGAGAGGGGTCTCCGACAGCACCAGGCGATCGCGAAACGGACCAGAGGTAGTGAGGCAAAGGGACAGACGGACTCGAACAATACGTAAGGTTTCCCCAACCCGTCTGCCATGGCAACCGGCCCAGGAGCGCATGGAACGCCAGAGACCCAACCCGCGGTCGAACGGGTGAATCATCGTCACAGCGTACGTGACGAAAACGGACGATTTCGTCGGTGTGTCCAGCCTACGTCGGGACAGGTTCCACAAAGGGCTCAAGAACCAGAGCGATCACGCGATGGGGCTCATAATCAGCTACCTGTGAGGACCGAACAGTGTCAACGCCAGAGGACAGGGTCCGAACGAGGAATAGCTGGAGGGCGGCAGTCGAGCCCGAGCGTCGTGGAGACATCCAGGGACCGTTTGTATAGCCTACCGGTAGTTTTTGTAGGAGGTGACCGGCCAGTTCCGACCCTGTGCAATTCTATACAGCCCGACACGGTGTAGCAGATGGAGGTGGAGCCGGTCGTCAACACCATATTGAAGGCGGCCCCCATCTATATGTCCGATGTTGAAGGGCTGGAGGACATTCCGGCAGATCAGCTATAGTAGGCGCACTGTTGGGCCGACCGGTCGGACTGGATGGGAGTATGTCGCGGTCGCATCGCATTTCTGGTGTTACTGTCCGATGGCGATCACGGCACTTCCTCTTCACATTCGACAGGTTACGCTATTCGCGGTGGCCGAATGGCGGTGCGAATCGGTCGCTCGGGCGCAGGACAAAAAAGATAGAAAAAAGTTACTTAATTCTTTCATGTCAACGGTCACTGTTACTTACTAAAAAGAAGGCGCTTGTATTTAAACATCTATTTATTTAAACTATTGTTAATATTAAATAATATTGTTTCATCTTTGGAATAAACGCTTCTAGTGTTATTGTGTAATTATTGTTACTATATTTACAAATAATTACCCTGACTACATCAAATTTAGGACTTGACCATTTACCGCCGACGTATTATATGATGCGGTCTATTTGATGGCATAATAGTAAACGTGTTTTTATTTTCCTTGCTATTACACTGTTAATAGTACACTAAAAATCCTAAGTATATTAATGTTTTCGTTATTTAACAATACTCGACGGCCATCGATCATCCTGGATTCTTATACTAAATGCATGGTGTCAAGGTATAATACCTTCAGTATATTAAAATCAACATTTTGGTATAACACAATGTTCTCACCTTTTACCAGTGGTTATTATAGAAATAATGTTATTTCATCCATCATGCCATAAATACGATTTTAAAAAAAACCCAGCACAGGGATGTCGTTGCACAGTGGTGACGTGGCATAGTTGGATCAAGTACAATGATATCTGACAGTGATTAAAATCACTATCAATAAAAACGCTTCGATGCAAATCTATAGATAGTGTTTAATTTAAAAAATTGGTCGATTATTCCAAAAGCTACAAGATCTCTTATTTCCTTATGTTTTATTAATTTAAAAAAAGTATGTCAAATGGAAGGAGTTGATATGAAATATTTAGAAAAAAAATTTTTTATACATCCATACATTTTTCAAAAATGATTCAATTAAAAAAATTGATGGATTATTCCAAAAGCTACATGATCAGCTA